TAATATTATCAAAGTTTTTCATGTCTTCCTAACTCTACCTGTCAGTACAGCCACAGCAGAGAGAAGCTTTAGCTGCCTAAGACGTCTCAAAACCTGGCTGCGTTCAACTATGACCGAGTCTCGACTGACAGGTCTGGCCATGATGCACCTTCATAAGGATATTAATGTAGATCCAGTCTTAGTTCTGTCAGAGTGGACAAGACAGAAAGGAAGACGAATTCTTACGAGTAACTCAATTTGGACAAATTCCTAAAATCCTAATTATAAATAAATACACTCTTAATGTCATGATACCAGAAATCTTAATTGTTAATCATGATGTTATAGCATTAAATTACTATTGTAGAATACTTACATTGCCAAAGGATTATGATGCGCCATAGATACTCTAATATCTATGGATGCGCCATATTGCGAGGACACGCCCATTTTGCGGGTGTAAAAGTGGGCGTGGCCAAATCGGCGGCGCGCTTCGCGCGCCATCTTATATACCCACCTTTCCCATAGCCTACCCTTCCCTTTTTTTTCTCCCTACGCCCGTGAGCACCGATAACACCAATTGTGCTGCTTTGCAAAGAAGAATGACTTGTGCTCTATCTCTACAAGAATGCCAGCTGAGGATTCGTAACAAAACAGGCAACATTACTCGAGATGAATTTGTTCTGATAATGGATTCTATGACCATACATATTCAAAGTGGTGAGCCTCTTGAACTGGAAACCTTGGCTGTGGTTATTGATGCACTGAAGGAGGTAGTAGTGAGTTGCTTGTTTGATAAAGCAGATACTACTTTTGAAAAAGAGCTTGAAGTCCAAAGGAAAGAAATGAAAGATCTTAAAGACAAGTGGGAGAAGCTAAAAAAGCTTGAAGATGACCTATTTATAGGTCAAATGGCCAGCTCCTTAGAAAAAGAGATTGTAAAGTATATCTTGCAGAACACTGGAGTTAAATGCAAGATTGAATACATCACAATCAGAGATATTGATGATGCACTTCGTGGATACGTGCACAGTTATTCAAAAGAGATATTCACATCAAGGGAACAAGAAGACAAAGCTAAAGAAAATAAAGCTAAATTGAGTGCAGACTTCCCAAGTATTAATGGGGATCTTTATCGTGCCATTCATCAACACAAGCATTACAGAAATATTCAAGCTCATCCAGAGCTAAATATTACAAATATACGTACTCGTTTAGCTGAGAGCCAAGTTGAGGATAAAGAAATGATTGATAAATTTATAAATTTATACGAGACCTTTCAAGGAAGGAAAAATAAGAAGCAATAAATGTAGACTTGATCATGATTTTACATTGAAATTTTAATTTGTGTGACTATTATAACAAACAATATCCTTTGATATTATTCAACTGTACATGCTTATCATTGATGTAATTTCTTTTAACTATTTCATTTCAAATATAGCAAATATTCTGAATCAATCCAAATGAAACTGTGCGCATTATTAAATTCTATCATATGCAAGAGCAAAATAATGAACTGCGTGCTAAGTATATTCATTGCAAAATAAATATATTCATTGCATACCGTAATAACTTTCAAGAAAAAAAATAAGTTCGTTGGACGTCAACTTTCCATTGGCAGCAATGGAGAAAAGATAGAAAAAGGCTTGGTACCAGGAAACCACTCTGTATTTCTTGATAGCAATCTTTCAGGTGACTACTAGACCCCATTGGATTCTCAGGATGCTTTCTAAGCTTCCGAAAAAGGCCTCAAGAAGGTAGCAACGCAAGAAAATGTTTTCCCCCATTGAACTCTTAATAAACTTGACGTCAAACATGGCGGCCAATTTACTGTGTGGGTTGGATATACGGTACTAAAAAACTATGAATATACTTAGCACGCAAATCCTCTAATGATCCCATTAACATGCTACTATATTTAGTTAACAATAACATGGATTGTTACTCTTCTTATGTAAACAAGAACATAAAAAATTAAAAAA